AGCCCAGGAGTTGGAAATTGCTGTGAGCTGTGATGCCATGGCACTCTACCCAGGGTGACAGCTTGAGGCTCTGTCTTAAAAAAAAAAAAAAAAAAGGAAATGACAGAAGAGGAATTTAAAATACAGATGAAAACAACAAAGGAAATTACTGAGGAAGTGGAAAATGACCAAAAAACAATAAAGGAAATTGCTGAGAAAGTGGAAAATAACCAAAGGAAATCTGAAAACAGAATTAAATAAGAAATGAACAATATGAAGAATATAGAAAAGATATAGCAGAGCTGAAGGAATTGAAGCAATTAGGGAATTTAAAGATGCAACAGAAAGTATCAACAGCAGATTAGACCATGCAGAAGAAAGAACCTTAGAGATAGAGGACAAAGCTCTTGAGATAACTCAGATAGTTAAAGAGGCAGAAAAGAAGAGAGAGAAAGCAGAACGTTCACTGACAGAATTATGGGACTTTATGAAGCATACAAACATACAAGTTACAGGTATCCCAGAAGGAGAAAAAGAATGCCCCAAAGGAATGGAAGCCATACTAGAGAATATTATAAATGAAAATTTCCCAAATATCACCAAAGATTCTGACACACTCTTTTCAGAGGGATATCAGACCCCAAGTCGCCTATTGTGATGAACCTGTTCAAACTCAAGACAAAAGAAAAGATTCTGCAAGCTGCCAGGAGTAAGCACCAGTTGACCTACAGGGGCAAATCCATGCAGACTTTTCTAAAGAAACTGTTCAAGCCAGAAGACAATGGTCATCTACCTTTAATCTACTTAAACAGAACAATTTCCAGCCCAGAATTCTATATCCTGCTAAGATAAGCTTTAAAATTGACAGAAAAATCAAATCATTTACTGATAAGCAAACATTGAGGAAATCTGCCACAAGATCAGCTCTATAAGAAATACTTCAACCTGTTCTACACACTGACCATCACAATGGACCACCAGCAAAGTAAGCACCCAGAAATTAAAGAACAGAACCTAGCTTCCACAATAATGTAAAAGATAAAACTAAGCAATGAACTTTCACAAAATAAAATGAACAGAACACTACCACACTTATTAATGATCTCAATAAATGTTAATGGCTTGAATTCCCCACTGAAGAGACATAGATTGGCTGACTGAATTAAAAAACACAAGCCATCCAGTCCATTTTCTGTCTGCAGGAAACACACCTAGCCTCAAGAAACAAAACTCAGAGTTAAGGGTTGGAAGACAATTTTTCAGGTAAACAGAATTCAGAAGAAAAGAGGGATTGCAATCTTATTTTCAGATACATGTGGATTAAAAGCAACTAAAGTAAAAAAAGACAAAGATGGTCACTTTATATTGGTCAAGGGAAAAATACAACAAGACATTTTAATTCTAAATATTTATGCACCCAAATTAAATACTCCCAGATTCTTGAAACAGACCTTACTCAGTCTGAGCAATATGATATCCTATAACACCATATTAACAGGGGACTTTAACACTCCTCTTACAGAGCTGCACAGATCCTCTAAACAGACATTAAACATAGATATAAGGGACTTAAATGAGACCCTAGAACAACTATGCTTGACAGACATATATAGTACATTCTATCCCAAAGATAAAGAATATACATTCTTCTCACCACCCCATGGAACATTCTCCAAAAAATTGATCATATCCTAGGACACAAACAAATCCCAACAGAATCAAAAGAATTGAAATTTTACCTCGCATCTTCTCAGACCATAAGGCATTAAAGGTGGAACTCAACTCCAACAAAAACGTGTTCAACCTCCACATCAAAGTATGGAAATTAAACAACCTTATGCTGAATGACAGTTGGGTACAGGAAAAAATAAAAGAGGAAATCAATAACTTCCTTGAACAATAACAACAATGAAGACACAAGCTACCAAAACCTGTGGGACACAGCAAAAGCAGTCCCGAGAGGAAAATTTATTGCTTTAGATCAGCAGTTCTCAATCTGTGGGTCACAACATTAGAAAGGTTGAGAACCACTGCTTTAGATGCATACATCTGAAAAACAGAACGAGAACACATTAACAAACTCACAAGCCATCTTATAGAATTGGAAAAAGAAGAACAATCTAAGCCTAAAAAAATATATCCAAAATTAAATCAGAGATTAATGAAACTGAAAACAAAAGAATCATTCAGAAAATTAATGAAACAAGGATTTGGTTTTTTTAAAAAATAAATAAAATAGATAAACCTTTGGCCAGACTGACTAGAAATAGAAAAGTAAAATCTCTAGTAACTTCAATCAAAAATGATAAAAGGGGAAATAACAACTGATGTCACAGAGATACAAGTGATTATCTCTGAATACTACAAGAAACTCTAAACCCCAGAAATTTGATAATGTGAAGAAATGGATCAATATTTGGAATCACACCCTCTCCCTAGACGTAGAGATCTCCTGAACAGACTGATTCCAAGAACTAATATCAAAGAAACAATAAAAAATATCCCAACAAAAAAATGCCCTGGTCAGATGGCTTCACACCAGAATCCTATCAAACTTTTAAAGAATAGCTTATTCCCATACTGCAGAAATTATTCCAAAAAATTGAGGACGGAGGAATTTTCCACAACATGTTCTATGAAGCAAACAGTACCTTGATACCAAAACCAGGAAAAGACCCAACTAAAAAGGAGAACTTCATGGGCGGTGCCTGTGGCTCAGTGAGCAGGGCACCAGCCCCATATACAGAGGGTAGAGGGTTTAAACCTGGCCCCGGCCAAACTGCAACCAAAAAATAGCCAGGCATTGTGGCAGGTGGGAGGCTGAGGCAAGAGAATTGCCTAAGCCCAAGAGCTGGAGGTTTCTGTGAGCTGTGACGCCACAGCACTCTACCAAGGGTGACAAAGTGAGACTCAGTCTCTAAACAAAAAAAAGAACTTCAGACCAGTTTCAGCAAAGAATATAGATGTAAACATTCTCAACAAAATCTTAGCCAATAGATTACAGCTTATCATCTAAAAAAGTACATCGTGATCAAGTAGGTTTCATCTCAGGGATGCAAGGCTAGTTTAACATATACAAGTCCATAAACATGGCAGTGCCTGTGGCTCAGTGAGTAGGGTGCCAGCCCCAAATATGAGAGAGGTGGGTTCAAACCTGGCCCCAGCCAAACTGCAACAACAACAAAATAGCTGGGAGTTGTGGCAGGCACCTGTAGTCCCAGCTACTTGGGAGGCTGAGGCAAGAGAATCGCCTATGCCCAAGAGCTGGAAGTTGCTGTGAGCTGTGACACCACAGCACTCTGAGGGTGACAAAGTGAGACTTTGTTTCAAAAAAAAAACAAAAAGTCCATAAACATTATTCACCATATCAACAGAAGCAAAAACAAAGACCATATGATCCTTTCAATAGATGCAGAAAAAGCATTCAACAGAATCCAGCATCCTTTTCTAAGTAGAACACGGAAGAGTATAGGCAAAGGTGGCACATTTCTTTTTTTTTATTATTATTATTTTTTATTTTTAAAGACAGAGTCTCACCTTCTTGCCCTCAGTAGAGTGCTGTGGCATCACACCTCACAGCAACCTCCAGCTCCTGGGCTTAGGCAATTCTCCTGCCTCAGCCTCCCAAGCAGCTGGAACTACAGGCACCCGTCACAATGCCTGGCTATTTTTTTTTTTTTTTTTTTTTGCAGTTTGGCCAGGGTTGGGTTTGAAAGGGAAAAAAAGGAAAAATTAGCTGGGTGTAATGGCACGTGACTGCAGTCCCAGTTACTAGAGAAGCTGAGCCAGGAGGATCACTTGAGCCTGGAAATTTGAGGTTGCTATGAACTGATGATGATGCCATTGCACTATATCCTGGGCAATAGAGAGACCTTGTCTCAAACACACACACAAAAGCACCCCCTCAAAGGTACATTAACTCACTCCCTCTTGCCCAAGTCATGTCTGAGAGTTTAACTAAATGTGAGGAAAGCACCATGAAGCCCCATGGTGAGGATAGGCTGTTCCCAAATGAACACTTACCCTGATTGCTTTCAGTCCATTTGATACTTTATTTTCTTCTACAATTGCAATAACTTCCTGTCCAACATTCAGAAGCACTTTGCTAGTCACAGCTTCATTAGAGAAGTAGATCAAATCATCAATCATGCCATAATCACTGCAGTACCTTGTCACAACACCTTGTACGGTTTTCAGCTTAGTCTCACCTGAGATGGGTAAACAAAGGTTAGAGCAACCACACTAAGCCCTGCCAGGGAAAGGAAAGGACAGAAATATCCATCAGGGACAGGAGCTGAATGGGCAAGGTGGGGAAGGAGGCATCAACCTTCCCGGACTAATTCATTTGCTAGTGGGGGTCCTTCTGACTCCGCAGAGCACCAGAATGAATCATACTCGAGCTGCCAGCAGACCCCTGCTATCTAGTTGCCAGAGACCTTTTGAACGCTCTCATTTGAGATTGGGTGCTGACTGGGACAACTGATTTGGATCTCTTGGATTGTACCAATCACCTGAGGACTATCCAAAGTGGTACCCTGGGTACATGTGTGGTTGTGGGAAGGTTTGATTTTTCCAGTTGCTGTCCGTGGGGGGGCAGGGTGACTTAATTGCTGGTATTTCTCCACAGCTGAGACTTCAACCCAGAGTAACCAGATTTGAGACAGGGAGACACCACCAGGCAGTGGCATGTTCGGAGGTAGTGGCCCAGGTTCTTCTGAGGGACAAAGGTGGTAGCCGTGGTGGGGAAAGCCCTGACTCTAGAGCCTGTGTAGTACCGACAGTGCACAAACAGACCTGAGTGGCTGACACAGGTTATGGGGCAGCATAAATGGCTATTCCTAGGTCAGCATTTGGGGAGCCACTAACATGCACTTATTACTATTATCTGCTTTTATCACATCACCAGCAGCAGCCTCAGAAGACTCGGGAGTGTTTCTACAAACATGGCCCCAGTACACAGTCAGGGCTCAGGCAGGCCCTCAGCCACCCAGTGACATATTGAGAACCAACGCATCACTGTCTTCAGTCCGTGATGCACCTAATAAAATACAGGAAAAGCCCCCGGGACCCAGGCATGGAATCTCAGCACCATGTGGACTTGCACTCAAGCTGTCCTTTAAAGCAAATAGTTTACAGATGCAACTCAAACCAACAAAGCAAGCTGTTCCAGGCTACAAATCACATATACACGCATTAGTGCATCTGGACACCCGTGGCCTTCACCATTGGCATGTTTCTGGCTTCTCTAAAGGAGAATTTCATCATTCCAGAGGTTAAAGAAAGCAACTAGGAAATTACTACTGTGAATTCTCCTATAGGAGGAATTGGAAAAAACATCGATAACCCTGAAAAGAGGCAGCTGTGTAATTCTGACCAATGGGGAAGGAATAAACTGCTAGTACTCTAAGTATACTTTCAGGACCATGGGTTCAAAAACAATGAAAAGAGTGCATTTCATTACATACTGAAAGGACAACTTAAGATGGCTGGGATTCTTATTTTTCAGAACTTTCTAAACATACAACTTTCAAGTGATAATAACAGAAAAAGAATGGGGTGGCGCCACCATCTACCTAGGGTGGTGGGTTCGAGCCCACCCCTGGCCAAACTGCAACAAAAAAAAAAACAGCCAGGCATTGTGGTACCATTACTTGGGAGGGTGGGACAAAAGAATCACGTAGGAGCTGGAGGTTGCTGTGAGCTGTGACGCCATGGCACTCTACCAAGGGCAATAAGGTGAGACTCTGTCTCTAAAAAAAAAGAAAAGAAAGAAAAAGAATGAATAAGTAGAGATGTCTTTTCCCTATCCAGTTTGCATAGATAAAAATGCAAACTGGAAAAAAGGAAGAGTGACTTGATAGTGGCACACACCTGAAAGAACACAAATGTTCAGAAACATGCAATATGTTACATGTAGTGGAGTGCCAGAGGTTGAGGCTAAGGAGGTTTGCACTGGATTCAGACAGACCAGAGAAAAACTGAGGAGCCCCAGGTAGCGGTGACATGCCATTTATTCAGCTCTTGGTGGCTATTGAGCAGGCATGGGGACATCTGCCTTCATCCAGCTTGTGGGGGCAGATGAGCTGGCATAAGTAGCTTCCCCCCATAGGAAGTTCACCACAAGAAGTTGGCAGCAAAAAGTCCCCACAAGCAAAAAGCCTCAGAACCCAGTAACAGTGGCTAGAACAATAGCAGCTCAGAATCAAGCACTAATGATAATTACTTAGATAATAGGCACCTACAGCTTAATCATGGTCACTCAGAACAAACTGGCACCTCATGGCCTTAAGGAGAGAAAACTTAGCTGACTCATCTTTCCCACACTCCACTCCATTACCGTTTCTCACCTCAACCTAAACAATAAAGTCTCCCTAGGGGCTCCTGTGGGGAGTGTGGAGCATTGTATCCACATACCATAATACACACTAGGACAGCAGTAACAGCATGAACGATAGCAAACAAAACCACAAAGGCCATTAGATGCCACATGACCATCCACAGGGTAAACCCCTCTGCCCCAAGACAGTCCAGCTGACTGTACAAGTCACTAGCAGCTACAGCTCTTTAGCAACCACTAGCCATAGTGCTCAGAATTCAGCCCACTGTCTGCTTTGTCTGGTCCCTGTGTCATACCAAATAGTTTCTACCGGTGGGAGGAAGGCTGTAGCTGTCCACCACACAGGGTACCCCCAACCTGAGCCTTCAGTATACCAACACAACCTAAGGAATTAGAGCACACTCCTCCTTAGAGGGAGTAGCTTTCAACTGCTTGGACATTCTGTGCCCCAGCATCCCATGCAGGTCATGGGCCCAATACTTTCTGCTCTGCCAGGGGGCTGAGACTCAGGGCACCGTGCTGCTGTAAACACACTCCCCCGCCTCACCAGGGTCAGTGTCTGCGCTGTGCCACTGCATGGCTCAGTGGCCCAGTCCTGTACCCAACTACAACAGCCTGTGGAGTACAGACAGTCACAGGGGCTGTGGCAGTTACACTCTGTTGCCAAGAGGGCCACAGAGAGCTCTGAAAGCAGAGCCAGCAGGACCTCCCTAGCCAGTGCCTTGGTCAGGGAGAGCCACTCCTCCGACTTCTCTTTGGCCTGGGAGCACAGTTTCTCCTCAGCGGCCTCCTTGGCCACAGCCAGTGCCTCCACCACCTTACTGTTCTTCACCTGCAATATTCCACAGCCCCCCTGAGCTCGGTGGTCTTTTTCTCGAGACACGACATCTAGGACTCCAGCTCATTGAAGTGGGTCTGCTGCTGCTTGGCTGGCCTGGGCGTCCCGACCCCGCCCACCTCCAGCAGGGCCTCGATGGACCAGATTCTGAGCTGTGAGCTCCCCTCCCTGGCCTTCTTAAATTGCCGTGAAGACCACTCAGCCCTTCATGTCTACTCCTCACCTCCACTTCGGAGAACTGTGACTTGCTGGTAGCTTGGACACTTGCTGCTGCCACCCCTGGGCCCTCTCCGTGTCTGCCCAGACGCTTCTGCAGGACCTCCCCACTCTCCTCGGGAGCCACCTGCAGATGCAGAACCTGCTTCTTGAAGGCAGCTGCCTTGGCTTCCAGAGCCTACAGCTGTTGCTCCTCCTGCTGTGCTGCCTCTGACTTCTCCACCAGCTCCTTGCTGAGTCCCTGGCTGGAGCTCAGCCAGCTGTGTTCTGCCTGGTTTCCACCTGGTTCATAGCATCCTCACAATGGAGTCTTCCTGCTGTAGACAGGCCAGCTGTACATCAGGGCTATTCTCCAACTGAGGAGTCTGGATCTTGACCTGGTTGGGGAACTCTTCTATACATTTTTGTCTTGGTTTGGTGTCCTCTGCTTTTTTCCCTCATCCAGAAAAAAATCCTGTAGGCAAATGACTTACACACCTGGCCTCTTAGCCTTCCCTGGTTCTGCCTCTCTCTCTTACTCTGCTGTTTCAGGGGTTGGGATTGCTGCTCTGGAGCAAGCTATCGCCATCATTCTAACAGTTGGCTGTTGGGTTTCCCATCAATTTTCTCAGTCAAACCAGGCTGACAAAGTATCTACCGACATCTGAGTGCCCATGACCTTCTCTGGCTTCCCCAGCAGCCGCCCCCTCTCTTGCTTTATGGTCTCTGCCTCCCCTAGAGCTGCTATGGTGCTAGTTACTTCATCTTATGTGCCATCCCACATAAGATGGCAATATTGCCATCAAGGACCCAAACAGGGTGGAGGGTGAGCTCTGCAGCACAGTGTCACCCACACCAGCTGTAAAGTGTTCCTCATCAGCCCTCAGATGTTCAAATTAAACATGACATTCCGCATGCCCAGTTCCAGAATTCTGAACAGGCTAGCCAGCAACGCACAGGACCTGGGAGATCCCAAGCAGTCCATACCATGTGGACTGTGGCCAGGACCCAGGCCAACAGGGGTGGGTACCGTAGCCGCGGGGTGGGGCAGGGCTGGGTGGGGGCAATCCTGCAAATGCTGCCACAAGGACAGCTGTGTCCCGACGGAGGCTGATTTGTCCATCTCCGGGGCACCCAGGACAACGCTGTCCACCCCTAGATCCCATAAACGCAACGTTGCAGCACAGGGACCCGTTAGTTTTCTGCCTGAACTGTTCCCGCAGCTCCACCAAGTCTGAGTACAGGACGAAAAGGAGTGTTTGGTCACTCCTTGCGTGGCTGCCCACCCTCCCGGGGCCCCGGTTGTTGCTTTTTACTTCTTCTGTTACCACTTAGCTGTGCCCTATAGCATTGTTCGCCCTCATCCTCTTCTGAGGAGTCCGCCGCCAGGGGGGAGTGCAACTGCTCCCAGGTCACTTGCCCAGGGGCCGCCACCTCCCCTCCAGGATGCCACACTGCCCTCTCTCAGCCTCCAGCTGGTCCTGCAGTGCTGCCTCGGTCCACGCAGAGCTGTAGAATAGTGGACTCGGCCTTGCACAGGTGCGGCGCTTTTTTTTTTCCCCAGAAGCCTCCCCCGCTGTGTGGGGACTGTCTCCACCCCACCTGCTGTGTGTGGCCCCATCCGCCTTGGGCCATTCCTGGGGGGCGCCTGGGTGGACAACGCCCAGCTTCTGCGCATCACGCGGCCATGGCTGGTGCCCTCTCGGCCTCTCCAGGTCGCCAGTTGTGCCAGCGTCGAGACCCAGGAGGCCCGCCGGGGATTCAGGCTGGAGCAGAACCGAGGAACCCAGGGCACACACCAGGCACCCCAGAGGGCGGGCGCTCCAGCCTCGCAGCCACAGAGCAAGGCACGCGGCCTGACGCGAAGGACTAACCCGTTCTCCTCCCGCAGGTTAGGAAGCCTGTTCACGCCGCGCTGGGCGAGGGAGAGAGAGGATCAGGAAGGGTCATTCCTTAGCGTTAGAGACCGGACACAGGCATGTTTCACGGAGCACACGCCTCACTCGAGCGCCGCGCAATGGCAGGTGCGTGAAGACCACGCTGCAGCCTCACGTCAAACCTCAGCTTGCGTGAGGTGCATCCCGGAGACCGGCCTGCGGCCCAAGGAGAGGACACGCCCGCTCCCCGACTCCGCTCGCCCAGCGGGACCGAGACCCCCACAGAACCTAAGGGATGCCCGAGGAACGCCCGGGGTTCTGCAGGGCGGGGCGCCGCACCTCCTAACCCGCGCCCCCCACGCCCCGCGGCACCTTCCGCGAGCTCCTGGTTCTGCCTCCCGGCGTCCTCGTCGGGGGGGTCCGCCTTCCTCCAAAAGAAGGCCACCAGCTTGGCCGCGAGGCGCAACATGACCCGCCACCTCCGCCCTGCCGCCCGCACACGACGCGTAGGACGCCTCCACACCACGCGCACGCGGCCCGCGCTGCTCCCACCGCCTTCGGCCAATAGGGTCAGGGCGCCTGCGCCTGCGCCTTCCAGCCGCTGCCCTACGGGATCCCAGCGCTTGCTGCGACCGTTAGCGGCTAGAGGTTGGCGGTTGGCTGCTGTTAGCACGTGAGGGAGGCGAGGCGCTAGGTCGGCATGACGTCAATGAGGGAGGAGTCTCACGCGGAGGGTGGGAACTCCCTGCATTGTGCTTGGTGGGAAGTCGCTGACGTCACGGTTGCCCTTTCCCCCCAGCCTTCCCTCCCCGGCCTGGCATCGCGCACCGTGTGAGCACCTGGGGGCTCTTGCAGGCAGTTTCCAGTTCGGCCTGTTAATGGAGTGGCTCCCTGGGACACTCACTCCTGTCCGCACATCGCTTTGTTGAGCGGTGGCCCTTGGCCCGGCGGGTGCCACGTCGCGGTGAACGTTGCTTGTCGCCTCCATCCTGTCCCTGCCGCGCCTTCGGTTTGCGCCTCGGGGCGCGCTGCGTGGGGCTCCCCACTCTTCCTGGGGAGGGTCCGACATCGCGGATCCAACCTGCCCTCCGCTGAGGGGCTGGTCAAGGAGTCGGCGCGATGCGAAGCGAAGCGCCCCTGGCGCCCTCGCTGATGGACATGGCCGCATGGGCCAATTTTACTAACTTGTGTCTTTAGGACTTCATCCGTTTTACCCAATATGTCAAATCGGCCTAAAGTTGCTCTCGGTATTTCCTTATTATCCTTTTCAAGTCTGTAAGGCCTATACGGTGAGCTGCTTTCATTCCTAACATTGGTGATTTAAATCATCCCGCTCATTCTTGATCAGCCTAAGATTTGTAAATTTTATCCACCATGTTAAAAACTACCTCTTGGTTTCATTGTTCTTTCTCTGTTGTTTTTCACTATTGCAATAATTTCTGTTTTTTATTTCTCACCATCTACTGGTGGGGGCTTAGTTTCTGTTGTTTTAAGCTTAACGTAGAAAATTAGATAATTTTGAAACTTTCTCCTATTTTAAGCATTTTTAAAACTACAAGTTTATCTTTAAACTCAGATTTCACTGCATCCTACAAAATTTGACTTCACATTCACTCCCTTTCTAATTTCTGTTGTGATTTCTTTGACTCATGGGACTGCTCTTTGAAAAATTATTCAGAGATTTCTAACTATTTGGTCATTTTCCAGATAATTTTCTGTTCTGATTTCTGGTTTAATTTGGTCGTGGTCAGAGAATAAAGTTTGGGTGATTTGTCTTGGGAACAGTGTGTATTCTGCTGCTGTTGGCTGGCGTGGGGCACTTTAGTTTTGATTACAATTTTGTTATTTACTGGGTCCGTCCTGGCCGTTTACTTGGCAGGCTGGGCCTTGCCTGTCTGCACATGCACTGGGTAATACAATTCTTTCCGGAGAGACAAGGAGAGCAACTCATTCCCTGACAGTTGAAGACCACTAAGTCTTCACCTGGTCTCACTGCTGGTGACATACATGGTGTACTGGGAGGAGACATTCTCAGATACCAGAGCCCATGTGAGGGCTGACCTGCTCGGGCATCCCACAGTGGCCATCTGCATAGGCGGTTACTCCTGCAGGAACAGCCCTGACCTGCACTAGCCAGAGCTGCTCCCTGGATTCTGGACTCCTCAGCAGAACCAAGTGTGTGTCCCATAGCATCTCAGCCTCTTTAAGCACACGATGAAACTCACAAGCCTTGCTCCAAACCCCCTCCCACAACCTAACCCTCCTGCCTCCACCCTCACTCAGACCAGACTCAGCCCACATGCTCTTTGCAGTGCCAGCCCCACCTGCCCAGATACTGCTCTGCCTGGCCCCTCCAACAGATCCATCTCAGAGTCATGCAGTTTCCTGTGAAGTAGAAATAAAATCCTAAGCCCTTAGCTAACTGAAAAGAACCCTTTTGGCCAAGGCAACCCCAGAAACACCTTAAAACTATGTTCTCAGCGATGGCAGGGTGGAAGAGGCTGCACAGCAGTACCCATGTGACTTTCTGTTATGAACATTCACGACTCCTATGGTTTGTTGACTGTGTATACTTGATCAATGCTTGGTGTACCATCCTGTTCCTTTTCTCTTGGAAGCACCGGGGCTCAGCTTCCCAGCCTGCTGCCTTTTATGAGATATAAAGTGTCACTTCTCCAAAGCATAAAGCTCATTAATTGTCTTTTAGTTAACATCCCATGTCCACAGGTGTCTGGTACCTGGTTGACCCACTGCACCCACCTTGTGTGACCAGCACCCACTCTCCCGCCTACTTGGCTTGCCCTGCCTCCTACTTGTGCCCTTTGCTCTGATCTGCCAGACTCCCCTCCTTGCCTTCTGCACAACTTTGCTCAGATGCCTCCCTCCTGCTGAGGCCTGCCCTGACTTAGCAGACAGCAGCCCCCATTCCCTCCCCCGATCCCTCTCCTTATTGGGGAAAATGGAAAATGCTGCCCATGGCTCATTTTCCTCTCCCATGTGCTCCTGCTCTCACTGGATGTGAATGCACGTGGCCCACTCTATTCACTCCATAAATATTTGCTGAATGGTTGCATAGATGTGGAAGTATGTGGGGCCTCGATAGGCAAAGAGGAAGGAAGTACCTTTTAAGAACATTAATTTGTTTGAAGATAGAATGTGAGAACAGGACTTGTTCAAGAAACTATTAACACTGTTGCCAACAGAAGAAACAAGGAAGCATTTCTCAAGGAACCAGAAGGATTTGCTCTGCAACCTGTGATTCAAGGCAGTGTTTTGCATTTCTTAGTAGAAAGCAACTTTTGAAAGGCACAGAAATCTGATAACATTTTTTTCTAAATAAAAAGAAACACCAAAAGGATTCAATCTGGTCAGACCAAACCCCACTGATTCCATTTATGCCTCTAAAAGATAGTAAAGAAGCTTGGGAGATTTTTCCTTCATTCAAAATAGTTCTTGGCTTCATGGTTATAGTTTCTGAAAATTATTTCTTTTCCTTTTTTTTTGAAACAGAGCCTCACTATGTTGCCCTTGGTAGAGTGCGGTAGCATCACAGCTAACAGCAACCTCAAACTCTTAGGCTTAAGCGATTCTCTTGCCTCAGCCTCCCAAGTAGCTGGGACTATAGGCGCCCGCCACAACGCCTGGCTATTTTTTGTTGCAGTTGTCATTGTTGTTTAGCTGGCCCAGACTGGGTTCAAACTTACCAGACTTGGTATATGTGCCTTGCCTTACCACTGAGCTACAGGTACCACCCTGAAAATTATTTCTAATCTTTCCTGCTTGATTGAAACTAAGATAAATCGCTGAACCATGATTTGAAACCTGATGCTCTACTCAAGGTTTATGTGAGTTCACGGTCTAAGGAGCTGAATTTTCAGAACACGCTGGTTCAGGCCTTTCTACAGTGTACACAAAGCCGTCAGGGAGCCAGTGTCTCTGGGTGAAACACATTCATGTCCTTTTTCTTCACTTACTGAGCAGAAATAAAATGTGCAGAGACTGTGCCTGCCAGCCATCGGGGCTGCCCTAGAGAACCGCCCAGGTGGAATCCTGAGCCAGGCGCTGGCCCCACCAGCCAAGTCGAGTGAGTACGTTTATGTGGCCTTGTAAAGGAGTTTCCACCATGTCTTCTCAGGAGAGAAAGGAAGGCTACTTGCTGGGAAGTTACTTGTTGTCAGGATTCTGTGCTGTGGGTCCTGTTCCACTTGTCTTTCTTCTGACCCACCCTGCACCCGGGACCTGCAGTGAGTGGGGTCCAGGAGGCTCCTTCCTTTCCTAGCTGGGTTAAGGCAGCTCTGGGCCAGTAGTTACACAACCACCTCGAAAAACAACCAACGCAGAGCGTTTCCAGGATCCACTCAATTCATCTCCTCATTGAAATTCAGGAAACAGTCCTGCTCCTCCTGGCTTAAGCTTGAGTTTGCTGAGCTTTTGTTCCATCTGTGAATAGTTCTTGCTGGAACCCCCTCGCCCAGAGCTCCCAGCACCAGAAAGCAGCAGAGGTAAGCACCGACCAGAGCCGTTTTTCAGTCTCTGCATCAGTTACCACCGAAGCTGAACGTTACTGAGTCCACAGCATCCTGGGCTCATAGACGACGCTGCTGGTGAGCGGCTTTGTACCCACAGGACCAGATCAATGAAGCTGGATTTACAGACTAAAATTTTGCCCTGAACCCAGAACATTGAGGTTTGTTTTACAACGAAAGTGATTTTATTCACTTTTAGAATTAAGTGCTTATTTTCTCCCCCAGATCTGTGGGGCTTCAGTAAGAATACTGTATCTACGATAAGAAAGGACTTCTTGAAAATCACTCTTGGTATTTTAATTGAAGTTTTTTCAGAGTGGTCAAAGGCAATCATAATTCCATAAATAGCTGGTGACACTGTAATGATCATCCGTCCCCCAGAGCCATGACGCGGGAGGAGCCATTCAGGGAGGAGCTGGCCTATGACCGGATGCCCACACTGGAGCGGGGACGGCCGCACCCCACGGGCTACAGCACGAACTCGGAGCCTCACGACCTTCAGCTGCCGAAGAGAGTGCCCCCATGCCCCAGTGACAAAGCAGGGGTCTTCTCCGTGCTTATGGGGGTGAGTAGCCCAGCCTGGTCCCTCTCAGGGCCAGCCACGCAGCCCCCGAGGGTCCCCTGGCCTACACACCCTTCTAAGTGTGGCAGGAAGGGGTGCTGTCTAACCATCCCTGTTGCTGCAGAGCTCTGGATGCTGGCCTGTATACTTCTCATGTTCTCTGAATTGTTTTCCTCAATTCCTGAGTATCTGTGGCACCTGCCCCGAGCTGGCCTCCAGGCTGTGGCTGAGTCCCCTCAGGGAGGGACAGTCTAAGGGCCATGCTGAGTGCACAGGACTGTGTATCAGGTCAGGATAGCCTTCATGATCCTGATTCCTGCAAAAGGCCCACAGGGAGGGAGTGGATGGCAGGGCCAAGGGAGCAAGCCAGGTGGGCAAGCAGCCTGAGCATCTGGATGCCTTCCCTGGGGCCTTGGGACGTTTCCTGTCATACATGTGGATACCTACATAATTAAGAGTCATTTCTGCCCAAGTGTGCACAGAACACTTGCCAGGCGCTGCTAGGCCCTTCACCCATAGAAGCCATGGGCCTGTAGCGCCGACTTAAACAGTCCTTTTCCAGGTGCTGGCTTGGCTTACCTAGTCAGAGGCCACAGGCTACATGCTGGAAACTGGTGGGGGATCCTGAGGCACAGGAAATCGCACTGCTGGGGTGGGGTTTCCTGGAGAGAGGCAGGTGGGGTGTCTTCTGGGGAGAGGTCCTGTTTCTTGCTTTGACAGGCCCCTTCTCTCCCCCAAATAACAGGGTGGGACCCATGCTGTGACATGGGGGCAGGGGACACTGGTCCATTTCTAGGATGTATCCATCCTGCAAGAGGAGCCCAGTTCTGGCAGGATCTGGGTGCAGGGACAGTGATACTGGGGTGCTGGTCAGTCACTGGAGCCCAAGGGTTGGTTGTTCCCCTCGTATCTAAGACAGAGCTACATTATGACCTGAAATTGTGTTGCCTTTTTGCAGAGCTGCCTCCTGGTGACTTCGGGCTTCTCACTCTACCTGGGGAACGTGTTCCCTTCCGAGATGGATTACTTGCGCTGTGCAGCAGGCTCTGTAAGCAGTGGTCCCCAGCTGGTTGTCCGTGCCCAAGACCATTGATTTCTGTCACTTGTTCCTCATTCAAAATCTCTTTGTATGACTTTGGCTTCAAACAGGATTTATTGCTCTTGACAATTACTGATGAAGCAGGTCTGAGTCTTACCCCTTAGGATCCAGTGTAGGAAACAGCACTCACAGCCGAGTCCTGCTTCAGTGGGCCTGGGGGCTGGTGGAACCCTGCTGCAGGGTTGGGGCTGTATCCCACATCCTCCGGAGGCCCTATGCTGTGAGCACCTACAAAGGTCAGCTGTCTCTGCAGAGACAAAGAGAATGAGAGAAAAGGAAAGCAGAGACAGCTGACCTGTGCCCCTAGCCCTCCCTGCTTTCTGCCACCCAGGGGTCCAGCCAGCTTGAGTACAAAGCACTTGTCTCCTGGGGTCTTGTGTGTGTGTTGTCAGGGAGCTCCACTTCTGAGGATAGCATAGGCACAATGGCTCCAGCAAAGGCACAATGGCCTCCTCAGCCTTCCACTGCCATGGGCCTCTGGCCCCACCTCCAAGCCCATGGTTGATGGCTGTATACCCAAAGGTCTCAAAAACAAAACATATACAAGCTTTCCTTAACCCTGTGTCCCACCAGGTGTCCTGGGTCTCTGGGTCCCTGCCCAACTCTCAGAGACCTTCCCTTAAGGGCTTTTGTCTTCCCTGGAGCAGCACACCCAGCCTCCCAAGCCAGCCCTGCTTACCCTAGCCCAAGGCCCTCTTCTTTCACAACCTTGAGGGCCATGATCTCCACCCTCCCCAGTCATGCCCAGGCCATCCACCCAACACTGCCCTTCAGACAGCTCTAGCCACCAGCCTCAGGGGGTGGGGCCCACCACAGACTGGCTGGCCCTGCCTCTGCCTTGGGCCACAGGTGAGTCCTCAATGATAACACCCTGTTCATCAATTCCTCTTCCTTTGTGCAATTCTCAGCTGAGACCATCTGTGGTTGTGAGCATTCGTGACTTACATTCTGGACTCAGAAGTGTGTCTGGCTAGGATAGTATTCATTATCAAACATCTTTTTTAGCTCATCAGAAATGTTAAAACTTTTCTCAGAATAAATTCTTTTGGAGCATTCGGGGGGGGGGGCCTTTCTACGTTAAGTGAGCCCCCTGCCTTGAGTGGATGGGCAGCTCTTGTCTTGACAAAGTGATTCGAATCACTTGGGAAATATCTTGGTTGTGGTCTGTCTGCCTGCAGCCTCAGGGCTCTGATCTCTTTGCAGTGCATCCCCTCAGCACTTGTGAGCTTCGCAGCCTCCAGGAGGAAAGTCAACGCTGTGAGTGCAGCCTTCTCCATTCAGCTCCTGTACTCAGGGTGGTGGCCCCTCCACAGCCCACATCCAGGGGTGCCAGGGGTGCCCCATAGCCTATAGAGCTTCCTGCCCTGCCTTCCTGCCTGCAAGAGGGGGCGAGCAAGGCCACACTGATTCTTACCTATCACAAGCTTGAGGACTTTCAGTTAAGGACTAAAAGTTACTGTTTATTTCTTTAGTTATTCAAAGAAGCAAAATCCCTCCTGCCTTGTTTTTCAGATTCCCAACTTTCAGATACTATTTGTTTCCACGTTTGCTGTGACCACTACATGTCTGATATGGTTTGGATGCAAACTAGTCCTGAACCCATCAGCTGTAAACGTGAGTGGTTGTCCTGCAGACCTTGGTGGGTTCCCTACCTGTATCTTCCAGCTGACACCAGTTGTGGCTGGCCGCTCCACCCCCACCCCCATGCCTGTAAGTGTCGTTTGTCCAGTCAGAAGTGTGCAGTGAAGATTTATTTATCATAGCTCTCCAGTTTGACAGATTTGAGAGTTTTATTGATGCTACTGAAGAAAAGAATTGTCCTTATTGGACTCTTAATTGATTCTGGTGGGTAGATTTATTAATACACAATATTTTTAATATGTCTTCTGAAACGGTTCTTAAAAATTAGCAGTAACATAATGGTGTATTTCATCAAATATGTGATGCTACTGATTATATGGCATAGTCATCTTATGCACCTCTAAGAAAAATAGGAAAATGTTGTTACTTAAATGACACCAAAAGAGAAAAATTCCATATCAAACCAGGACCTGATCAGATGCCTCAGAAAAAGCCTCCTATTTTGTGTGAAACACTCAGCACACTTTCATCTTTTCTTTCCTTTCTTTACAGCTTTAGCCAAGATGCTGAACTGTGTCAAACAGTGCTGTGTTCAGGGTGTCCCTATCTTACTCCTAGTCTTCCTGAAATTTACGGAGTCTCCATTCACTTTTTGATATGTAACTTCAGTCACGTTAAAAATGTTTGGTTGAAGGTCTGGTTTTCTGTGAGTTTTTTATTTTAGAAACACAAATCACATGGACCTTTGGTATGGCAGCTGCTTTTGTGCATGCATGAGACAGTCTCCTCCTCTAGCTCATCTGCCAGGGGAGCCTGACGGATTGGATCCTTGCTGGGCTCTGTGTGGGCCACGCTGGGTCACAGTTCCACTCTCTGCTGCTGGGTAGCGCCAGCAGCACCGCACTCAGGGCCGTGCACTGAGGCCCGTGGGCGAAGGGGGCCTGCGTCTCCTCCGTCTGAGTTTGCTGTGGGTTTTTTCACTTTCCCCTGTGGTTCTGTTAGTTATTACTTATGTATTTTGAGGCTCTATTGTTAATTGGATTATCATTCTATGTTCTTTTTAAAATTTATTTCTAAGTTATCATATAGTTAAATTGACTTTTTAAAATATAGAGTTCTACAAATATTAAGCCATGTACAGATTTATGTAACTGCAGTACAGTCAAGATCCAGAAAATTTACATCACCCCCTTCCAACCCCAAAGAACTTGTGTTTTCAGTTTTTGGCAAGTATGCGTGGAACTCCATAGACATTTGTGTATAGGTTTTTGTGGGAACGAGAAAGTTCTAGATCAGGGATTGGCAGACTACAACCCTAGGGCCAAGTCCAGCCCCCAACCTATTTTTGTATAGGCTTTGAGCAAACAGTGGTTTAAAAAACCAAAGGAACCCAGCGATCCATGGGAGATAGAAATAGTGCGTGCCCCACAACACCTCTTATCTGGCCTTTGACAGAAAAAGTGGCTGAGCAGTCTCCGGCCTTACACAGACCAGTCTGTGAGAGCATCTGGCAGGAGCCGGGTGAGCAAGGTGGGGCTGAAGGGTGTATTTCTTCCTCAGATTAACTTCAACCTCATCCTGCTACTCCTGCTGGAGCTCTTCATGGCAGCCACTGTGATTGTCTCTGCTCGGTCCAGTGAGGAATTCTGCAAGAAAAAGAAGGTGGGTGTGGAGATGTCCCCCAAGGGATGTCACTGGCTCTCTGCAAAGCAGCCTCAAGGAGGCAAAGGCAAGATGCTTCACCACTCTTTCCCTAACTTGTCCTCAATAGCATCACCAGGAGAAATATCTGCTGATATATGTAAGGAAAACGTTTGTGTTTGAGCTTTTCTCTCAAGCCTGACATCCACTGACGACACCAAGATGGTTACATTTCAGAACAGGCAGGCCTGCCTCATCTGCTGCCCGTGACAGCTGGACATAAGCAGCAGAAGCTGGGCTGCTGTGTCCTGGGTGTCCTGGTGTGACGACGTTCTGTTTCTCCTCAGGGCTCCATCTCTAATAGCTCCAACATCTTGGAGGAAGTGAGGTTTCCAGCTCGGGTCCTAAAATCCTATTCAGTAAGGAAAATGCTCCTTTTCTTTATTTTTCTCTCTTCTCATTTTATCTTACTGAGGTGGGGGTTGAGGCTGGGTTATTTTTCGAGATGACTAAGGTATGGCCATGTGGACTGCACGTAGTGCTGTGGCTCATCTGTGAGGACTTCTCAGTCTATTTATCAGAACTGCTAATGACAAAACACCTTATCTTAAAAGGCACCAGTGTTCTTTAGTTTTTAGGGGTGAGGCTTGATACTGTGTAGATAGTCTCACATGAGGTGTCCCCAAGGAATCCATCTTCTCTTGTTCTCAGTGTCCCAATCTGAGGACAGATTACGTGGCCACTCTCTTGGCAATTGTGTCCTTTCTATTCTGCCCTTTGTTTTTGGCCTTCTTGTTCTATTAGTGAACATGCTGTTAAAACCTCTTGATCTGAGTGTAGCCTTATTGATTTCCCCTGGTAATCCTGTAACTTCCCGGCACAGGTTTCTGGAGCCTGTGTGTTGACTCACACACAGTCAGAGCTGCAGCCTCCTTACCTTTAGTCACACCCTCTCTGTGAAATGTGTATTCATAGGTTGAGGGACACCAGGGAGCCTCCAGTTCATGTTTGCCTGATATGCCTTTCTCTCTCTTCCCTTCAACTTTTCTTGTTCTCATGTGTTGGTATGTTTCCTACAAACAGCTTATAACTGCTTTTTGTTTTTTTATCTAATCTGCCATTCTCTCTCTTTAGCCATTTGAATTTTAGTCTGTTTACGTGGAGAGCGATCACTGACCTTTTATATTTATTTTTGCCATTTTTATTGTTTTCTTTTTTCCCCTGGCGATTTTTTTCTATGCTTCCACCCACACCTGCCCTTCTTTTGAACCGGTCAAAGCTTCTTCCTTCCTTTTCCCTCTAATTTCAATATTTTTTAAGAGTTTGTCCTTAATGTTATAACCTGCCTGCTGACAAGCTGAGTGACATCTTCACAGGGCAGTCCTTGCCCCTGTCCCTGGCTTGCCCCCTGTCACTGGGCTGCACCCCCCTGCCCCATTCTTGGCCTGCCCCCATCCCTGGCCTGCCACCTGCTTGTGAGGTTTAGGCCATTCCATTTCTTGACTCCCAAATCAGACAACTTCCTGTTTGCTTCACTCAGGTGATTTTTTTTTTTTTTTTTTTTTTTGAGACAGAGCCTCAAGCTGTCGCCCTGGGTGGAGTGGCATCACAGCTCACAGCAACCTCCAACTCCTGGGCTCAAGCGAGTCTCCTGCCTCCACCTCCCAAGTAGCTGGGACTACAGGCGCCCACCACAACGCCCGGCTATTTTTTGGTGGCAGCCGTCATTGTTGTTTGGTGGGCCCGGGCTGGATTCGAACCCACCACCTTAGGTGTATGTGGCTGGTGCTTTAGCCACTTGAGCCACAGGCGCTGAGCCCACCAGGTGATTTTTGTTCCCAACACTTTCCCTCCTGTTTCTTTTGCATTTTAATTCTTTCCTTTAGACATTTTTTGAGAGAGTGTAGTTTTGATAGGCTTCTTAAGTGATAACTTTGCCTGGAAGAGGATTCCAGGTTCCAGTCTCCCCTGAGCATTAACAGCCCCCTACCTGCTCTGGCCTAGTCACTGTCCTTTGTGGTGGCTTCCAATTCTGGGGTTTTCTGTTCTGTGATCATGGTCCCTTAGGTGGGAATTCAGTTGCATCTGTCCATCTGGAGTCCGTCCTGGGTATCCCAAATGCACAAATGTTCCAGCCCCGACACCGGCCCCCAGCCCTAGGGTGCCAGGCTTGGGGCATTTGCTTCTTTTCCAATCTCTTGTGGGGGCAGGGCTGGGGCTTCAGGTCTGCCCACCTGTCAGACAAGTGCCTTCAAGTCTGTAGAGAAGGCCCCTCGAAAGAGATCCCTGCTTAGGAGGCTGTGCTTGAGCAACACCTCACCTGGAAGCTACTGCTGCCCTCTGCTGCTGCCCTTGAGCTGGGGATGCCCCCAGCTCACCCTGCCCCAGGGAGCTCCGTGGCTGCGTGCTGTGCCCCAAGGCATCTGGGGGCACCCTCACTTCCTGGGAGGGGCGTAGACTCTCAATTTACCACTGAGGAAATGCCATCCCTTGTTATCCTCCAGGTCGTTGAGGTGATTGCAGGTGTCTCTGCCATCCTTGGGGGGATCATTGCTTTGAACCTGGATGACACGGTCTCGGGCCCCCACCTCTCAGTGACATTCTTTTGGATCTTAGTGGCTGTGAGTACACCCCAGTTGCCTTCCTGGTCCGTCTGGCCAGGTCTGGGGCCAGTGGCCTCAGATCCGGCAGGGCAGGTCAGGGAGCCCAGTTTGGTGCATTTGGACTGAAGCACCAGGAGAGGTTCCTCACTGCCCAGGCTGAGAGACAGCCAAAGAGGCCAAGGACCTGGATTATGGAAACGAGGCAGGGTCCATGACCTGAAGCTGACCCGTCCTCTGCTCACTGCCTGGGCCAGTCCCTGCCTGGTGCCTTCATTCTGACCACCTCGCAGGCTCAGCCCTCCTCGCGGGCAGGGCCCAGGCCTGTTACCACTGCCCAGGGTGCAGCAGTCCCTTCTGTGGGTGTGGATGGGTGAAATCATCACTGGGAGACACAATGGGTCATGAGGTCATGGAGCTGCTCGGCTGGGTGGGGACGGCCATCTGCCCTGGCAAGTGGCACCTCAGCCTCCGAAGCTCCTAGGGCCCAACCCCAAAGCGGCAGCTCCCACCCAGCAGATGGGCCTGTGCTCGGAAATGTCCCTTCATGGGAGTGGCAGGGGCCAAGGTGACTGGTGTGCCCTGGGGCTCAGCCCATGCTCAGGGTCCAGGTATAGAGCCAGAGGTCAGCATTCAGTGCCCATTGCACTATTCTCATAGTGTTTCTACAGGTCTGAAAATTTACATAGATGGCCAAAGAGAAGCACACAGAACCTCTGTTAATTAAGATAGGTAACCAGTGTGTGCTTTGGGAAAGAGCTTTATTTCTCAGAGGGCAAGAGCCTACAGGCTGCTGTTCCAGCAGGCTGGGATCCAAGCCCAGGAAGAGCCAGGCGTATGTGTTAAAGAAGAGACGGAGGGATAGGACATTATGCCAAGTGGCAGCACATACGTGTACTCAGGGGCTCGAGCACATAGGAGCCCTGTGTGTTCATGAAGGGAAGTCACATGTGTATAGTTGTGCCATCTCCCTCCCATCCCATCACAGCCGGGAACTTAGTTTTAGGGTGTTTTAGGGGCCCCCTTGGCTGATAGAGGTCTGTTCAGTTAGTAGAGGGCTCAACATTTATTACTGGCCCATACCTTCAAGAGGACACCTCTGCTTCCCAGCAGCCCCATCCCTCAGGACTACCTCAGATATGGGGGAGCATTCATTTGGAGCTGGACTTCTTGGACCTTGACTTCTAAAATGTTTCCTTTTTCTTTTCTCTTAGTGTTTTCCAAGTGCCATTGCTAGTCATGTGACAGCAGAGTGTCCCAGCAGGTGTCTGGTAGGTGAGCTTCTGTCCCATGGGTACCAGGGACCCACTGGGTTGCCCCCTCCATGGCCCATGTTGTCAGCTCCTGTGGGAACCAGGCAGCAGGAGCTGGGAGGAGGGCCCTGGCTAAGGCTGGCACCCACCACCCAGTGGCAGGACTGTCCAAGGGTTCCACTGACCACATGCTGCCCTGTCTGTGAAAAAAAAAAGCAGGGATGAACATTTTGTGTGATAATTAGAGCTCCTTGTGACCAAGCAAAGGAGAGAGGGGACAGTCCCAAGAGTGACACATTGTTTCTTTACAACAGCCACTAAGCCGGGCCCCAGTGCTCCGCAAATCAAGTGTGGCCCAGACACCTGGGCCTGTTCAGCTTGTTTCTGAGGCTTGACAGGGCCATTGCTCCATAATCCAGGAAGATTTCAGGGAGGTCAGAGCATTGGACAGGGGTCCACGGAAGTGCTGTTTTTCAAGAAAGGAGAATTGTGCATACATTTAAAAAAACTTATGAGCTGCTCTGCTGTGACTTAACGGGGAGAGTTTCAGCAGAGCCACACACGGAACCCAGCACCATGTGACTCCAGCCTTAGGCAGGTGTGGCTGAGCCCTCCTCCTTGCAGTGGCTCCAAGATGCAGGTCAGGGCTGGCAACACCTGTACTCTGCTCTCTGACCAGGTGGAGGTGCTGATCGCTGTGACCAGTCTCACAGCCCCGCTGCTGTCCACAGCCTCTGGGTACTTGTCCTTCAGCGTGATGAGGATCATAGAGACTTTCACAGATTACCCACCAGCCATAAAAGTATGTATTTTATTTTAAAACTCTCTAGAAACACTGGACCACTGTGTTGTCAGCATACATCTTGGGAAGGGTCTCCTAGGGAACATGGGCTGCACTGTAGGCAGTGGCCAGGCCAGGTGGGCTCTGGTCTATGAGGTCAACTTTTGCCCCATCTGCTCTTGGTGGAGCTGGACTTAGTGGAGCTGGAGGTTGGATCTCACCTGCTCACCTTGCATGGGTGGTAAAGTGACTACCCTGTCCCTGGCCAGCCTGTTCGACCCCACTACTTGTTTTGCCCCACTGCCCAGGTCTCCACTAGCTGCCCCTGTTTTTCTGCCATTTCCACAGCTTGGATCTCAGGTTTCTCTCTCCCTTGGCACCATACACTTTTCAGATTCTGTCAAGTTTTATGAGATGCCCTGTTGGAATTTCTCCTGGAATTGCATTGCTTTTTTTTGAGACAGAGTCTCACTATGTTGCCCTCGATAAAGTGCTGTGGCATCACAGCTCACAATAACCTCAAACTCTTGGGCTCAAGCAATTCTCTTGCCTCAGCCTCTCAAGTAGCTGGGACTACAAGCATCCACCGTAACACCCAGCTATTTTTCTTTCTGTTGTTGTTGTGTTGCAGTTGCTGTTGCATAGCTGGCCCAGGACAGGTTCGAACCTGCCAGCCTCAGTTCACATGGCCAGCACCGTACCCACTATGCTATGGGCGCTGAGCCTGGAATTGTATTACATTTACAGATAAATCTGAAAAGACTTGTAACTGTGACTTTGAGCCTTTCCAAGTTTGAATATGTTTCTAAATAGGTCTTCTCTAGAGTCTCAATAGCATCGCAATATTTTCTCCATAAGGCTTGGGCATCTTAGGGTTTTTATGGGATGTTTGAATGTATAAAACTGCAGAGGCTGCTCTTACGGGCACCGTACTAGCATTATTTTCCTTCCTTTTTCACAAGATGGGCTGCACACTATAATCACTGTTCTGTGCTCTGCTTTTTAAAAAACTTGGTAATTTATCCAAGGGTTTCCTCAGTATGCATGGCTCAGAGCTCTTCTGTGTTTTTTCATTGCTTCTGCTTGGTGGCCTAGCAGCCCAGCAGCTCAGCCCATCCTGGGGATGGGAGCTGTATCGCCCAGCCTGTTCTGGTGATGGGAGCTGTGTTATTCCCAGCATCTGCTGTTGGTAATGACGCCTCAATGAGCCGACAGTGTGCACACTTGATTGTGAGCGTGTGGGTAGGGAGAGGGACTGTAGGCCAGATGCATTTAGTTTGTATAACATCAGCATATTGAAAACACCCCATTTCCCCTCCTGCCAGTGGCGAGAGCACTCCTTCCCTCTGTTTCCCAAGAGGGGATCTCCTGGAGCTTTTGTGACACAGTGAGAGCACATCTGACCTGAGGGTGCTGAAGATCTCTTACTATGCTTCAAACCATTCACATTTCTTTTCCAGCAAACTCTGCTGTCTTTGGCACATTTTCTCCAGGGCTTTTGGGAGCTCTGCTAGCATCTGGGAGAACAGCCCCACCTCCTGCAATGGGATGTGCAAATAGTGGCCTGAGCCTGCCAGTTTTTCTTACGTTTGTCATGATTTTTGTCATGTGAGAGCTGTTTTGTTTTTACACAGCCAAATTGATCAATCTTGTCCTTAATTGCTACTGGATTTTAAGCAATTGTTAGAAAGGCTGGTACATTTGTTTCCAGTTTGGGTCATACACACTTCTGCTTTGTTTGGGTCTATCTCTGTACTTCCTGTGGTTGTCTGTCCCTCATGCTGGCCACCTGCCCAGGTCCAACCCTGTCCTATTGATACAGGTTTTACAACTTGATTTAATATTATCCCAACAGGATGAAGTGCCACATTGTTAATTGCTTTTCTTTTCAGAATTTGCTCAGCTTATATTTTTTGTATGAATTTAATTAATTAATTTATTTATTTATTTTGCAGTTTTTGGCTAGGGCTGGGTTTGAACCCACCGACTCCAGCATATGAGCCACAGGCACCACCCAATTTTTTGTATGAATTTTAGAATCAACATGTGTGCTCTAGAGAGTGGCAAGGTTGTTTTTATTGGGACCACCTTGATGCTGGATGGGTGCTGGGTTCTTTTTTGTGTCAACATTTAGTCGTTTTGTATTCTTAGGCCAACACTGGCGAGATTCTCCTGTGGTGCATGGAGGGCTGGGTGCCTCAAGGATGCTCTGAACCCTGGGTCTCTGGCCACAGAGAACCTCTCGGTTCTTCCATCCTCCCAGCAGGGCACCTGCACCTGCTCCTGCCCTCTCTGGTGCTCCCTCTGGCCCATGTGCTCCTCAGCCCCTTCCTCTCCAGCAGCTGGTGCTCGGTGGGTCTGCTAGTGGCCTGAGCCCCACTGCCTGGGACTCCTACTCCCTTCTCCATCTGCTCAGGGTCCTCCAGAGCTGACTATCGGCCTCCCAGCATGTTTACCACTGACACAGAGCTGGAAAGTTTAGTCCCTCTGCCTCATATGCCCACCCTTGCACAGCCACAGGTGGCTTTGCTGGTTCCCTTACTGACCCTTGTCGTTGCTGGGGCAGGAGTGGGTGGGGAGATGTGGACACCAGCATCTAGAGCTGGCCACAGGGCTCGCAGCCTGGGGTCACTCCTGGGCCCCAGCTCACGGCCTGCTCTGCCCACAGCAGTCCTATGACCTGCTGCTGCTACTGTTGATGCTGCTGCTGCTGCTGCAGGCGAGTCTCAACACTGGCACTGCCATCCAGTGTGTGAGCTTCAAGATCAGCGCCAGGCTGCAGGGCGCATGCTGGGATGCCCAGACTGGCCCACAGGAGCACCTAGCTGGGGAGGTGAGTAGCCACAAGCCCTGCTCCCTGGAGCCTTCCCTGAGAAGCCATGGAGCATGGCTGCCTTGCTGGCACCCTTCAGGACTTGTAACACCACTGTGGGCTTTCTAAACCCCACAAAAAAATCTTGAAGTAAAATTTGCTTTTAATCTGTTTCCTAAGAAGACAACCACACAAACCCAAACTCATTTCTAGAAAACACTTTGGACTTAATGCTTTCAGTTTTGCTCTTACAAACATAGGACTTGGGGGTTCCCCCATCACCAAAGCTGCCTCCCTGGCCTCTGGTAAGGATGCCAAGCTATGTAGGGGAGGGAGCACCCCCCAGCCTGCAACATGGGTTCCCCAGGGTATCAGTGACCACTGGCCAGCAGGCTCTGGGGCACATGCTGCCCTTTTGTCTGGGGGCGTCTGGTCACCTCTGCCTTACTCTCCTCTTCCTAATCAGTACCTGCTCCCCTTGGGCATGGGGTGAGTGAGGACCAGGCTCCCCTCTGCAGAGGGCCATCTGAGGGACCTGTATGAGGGTATGGGTGACTTGACAATGAGCAGGCCTTTGTCTCTTTTCCCGGAGGTCCAGGGTGTCAAAAAAAACTTCTAAACTAGGAGAATGCCCATTGCTGCCAGTGGCTGGGCAGTGTGTATGTGGCCTGGTGAAACAATAGCTTTCTTGTCTTGGTCACAGGTAGCCAGAGGCCCCCTGAAGGAGTTTGACAAGGAGAAAGCCTGGAGAGCCGTGGTGGTGCAGATGGCCCAGTGACTGCAGCACAGGGAAACTGAGTCGCAGCGTGGGCCTGGTCCAGTGGGTCACAGTGCATAGACGTTAGCTGCCCTTGGGCTGCTCCTTTCTAACACAATTGCTGCACGGGCAGATGGGGCTATGTGGTGGTGCCCTCATGTCTTATATAGTTTAGAACACACAGCTGATTCTGTGCCCAGCCTGGTCAGGTCAGCGCTTCCCAGGTGGACCAGGACTCCCAGGGCTCCTGGGGCTGAGGAAGGGCATCGGTCCTGCCTGCCAGAGCCCACACCTGCATGCCCTAACACGGTTCCCTGCCCCTCTCATGGCTTGGCTTGGGTCAGAGTCAGATATTTGGGTAGATGGGAGACCTCTGAGCCTCCTGTGTCAGCTTTCCCTGTGCCCGCTGTTGTGTCAGCCAACTTGGATCCCCACCATTCCAGACTCTTCCCTGAGATGAGCCCAGGGCAGAGGTTGGCCTGTCAAGTTCGGCCTCCTGACATGGGGGGTATGCAGCTGTGTACTTCTCTCCTATGGGGGGTATCACAGGGCCTGTCCTCCCCACTCAGCTTGCTACCACTGCTCTTCTTATGTAAAATCTACATCCTGAGTCTCTGCTCTATCTTTCTGCTGGAATCCTTGTCCATGTCCCCAGATGTGGTCATATCCAATGTGGAGCTTCACTTGGCCACGGTCAGTTCAGAGTTCTTTGGAGCATGGCCAGGTCCAAGGCTTTGGAAACTGGCTTGACTGTGTCACTCTCACTGAGTCATGCTGGCCCAGGTGTCTAGACGAGGCTGAGCCCCTCCTCCCATAGTTACTCCCCTTACTCAAAATGCAAGATGACCCTGGTCAGAACTTGGAGTCCTCATGGGGTCATCGCTGTATATCTCTGCCCATGTCACTTCCCAATAGGTGCCATGGCTTGCCCCTCACTCACCTGAGGTCTGGTCTGGCCCAGGGACATTCTCCATCACTGCAGCTTTGGGGTTTTAGGGGCATTTACAGGCTCTTTGCTCAGCCTGAGTGGTCACTGCCCACCTGCTGGACTGCAAGGACAGCTTGGGTGCGAGAATAACCTTGACTTCGATTGAAATCATGGCCAAGAGGGGGTTAGTATCCCATCACCTCATTCCCCAGGGATGTCCAGATTCTCCCAGTTGGCACAGACACCAGTAAAGCCACAGAGAGTCGGGGGCACTTATAAAACTGTAACTGTTGTTAATGGTTTTACTGATGATTTTCTGACCCATCTTGCCAGTCCTTTCAGGCACAAGGCTCATGATACAAAGTGTGGTTTTGTATCTTTTCTTCTGGTATGAGGGTATAAACAGCAGCATTGAGGGAGAGGCTTTTTGCTTTTTCCTAAGTTGGGGTGTACTAACTGTTTCCCCAGGGGCCAATGGGGATGCCCTTTGTTGCCTGAGGCTGCTAGGGTTAAAGACCTAGAAGTCTCAGCCCCAGAGACCAAGGCTGGATGGGGGCAGGTGGGTCTGCCCAGGAGCTTCCCAGCTATCTCATCTCTTAGCAGGACTGACTCTGGATGCCTCTGGGCTTCTCGGCATCAAACTTGAGGAATGAGGAACACAGCAAGACATCTGGAGATGGGGCCTGCCCTCCAGGGAAGCTCTAGGAGTCAGGACAAAGCCAGAGGCCAGCCAGGCAAATATTTTGTCCACATCCCCAAAAAGGAACATCACGCTCACCCACACAAGTGCAGGCTCTTTGTCCTTCCCCAGCTGCTGGGCAGGAGTGGAGTACAGGGACTGCTGGGGGGCTGACAGTGTTCTGGGGGTGGGGGGTGGGAAAAGAGAGTTCAAGTTCTACAGCCAGAATCAGGCACCTGGGCCGTTAATCCTGGCTCGTACTTTCTTATTTTACAGAGTTTAAAAAATCGTCTCTTTCAATTTATGCTTCTGTTTAATGCAGTTTAATACCCTGAACAATAAACACTAACATGTAAATGCGGCCCATGGCCTGTTCAATGCTGGGTCTCAAGATGGGCGTGAAAGCTAGGTGCAATGGCTCACACTTGTAATCCTAGCACTCCAGTAGGTCAAGATGGGCAGACTGCTTGAGCTCAAGAGTTCAAGACCAGCTTGAGCAAGACTTCATCTCTAAAAATAGCCAGGTGTTGTGGCTGATGCCTGTGGTCCCAGCTACTTGGGAGGCTGAGACCAGACAATCACTTTAGCTGAGGAGTTTGAGGTTGCTATGAGCAATGACACCATGGCACTCTACTGAGAAACACAGTGAGAGTCTGTCTCAAAAAAAAGAAAGTCATAACAAAAGGGAAGTAGAACATGGTGGGGGGACCACTGCCACCCTTGTATTTGTTCATCATTTATGTAGCCCCAGGGGTAGCGTGGGGGTGCAGGCAAGAGTCCCATAGCTTTCCTGGGTGAAGGCAGGAAAGACACCACACGGGGTTGGGGGCGGGGATATCTTGGGAAGGTAAATGGAAAATAATAAAATTTGGATTTTAAACCAAATAAGATAAGGTTTTGGAAAGTTAATAATAAGGTTTTAGAAAGTTACCATGAGTGAAGGCCCAGAATGGAGAGGGTGTCTTTCTGGAGCAGTGCAGGTGCCAGACCAGAGGCGGGACAACTGTTGCAAACAGTCCAGTTCTGGGAGTTGGGCAACACTGATCACGTCCATGTGGTGGTGGGCTTAGAACACCCAACCCCGGAGGGGACGCCAGGCATGGCCCCCAGCCCCAGCCCCATCCCTGTCTTCACCTGCAGCCAGGAAGGAGGGGCGGAGCTGGGGACGACGGGGCGGGCGTGACCTGCAC